GAAGCCGTAAGCCATGCCAGTTTCTGTCTGCCAAAGTGTGTGGCCTGTTACCGGCCACTCCCCCAGGAAGTTACCACAGCCACTTCCTCCCATTCATGCTCATCCCCCAGCAGGCTTGGTGGGTGTTGTGGGGGAATTCCCAAGGCCCGGTAATCTCGCCAGGAATCACACCAAGGTTGATTCGCGCATTTGACGGACAGAGGCTCAGGTCCTGCTAAAGGTCGTTTACCATGAATAGATGGATCCATGGCTGACGTGCTTGCAGGTAATTATGCTGCTATGGTATCCGGAAGCTTCCGGGGCTTGTTCCCCAGTTGGAATTGGCCTTTTGGAGCGGCTTTGCCATGCGATGGATACACATCCGAAAGGGATCTCTAGCATGGATTGATTAGTTCACTTCACGTTCATGGATGCCAGTCTCTTTCAGGTGATCGGTGAGCCCTTGACCCTGTGTTTGGCTTGGGGCCTTATCTGTCCTCCATAGGAACAGTCAAGATATTAGTCCTGGTAGCGACTGGGTGTGACCTGGAGCGGCTGCAAGTAGCTACATCCACACAACTCAAAAACTGTGGCAGAAGGGAGAAGTGAGAATACCAAAGCAGCACTCTCAAGATCCCCCCCCCCTCACCAGCAGTCAGTCCCCACCCCCCATCTCAATATGTCAATTACAGCAGAGTTCACGGAGCATGGAAGCCTCAGAACAAACGAGCTAATCCGATAACACGCTCTTCGGAGAGATCTGGGCTTCAGGAGCGACTGAGACACGTGATCCAGGGAAGAATTTGATAATGGGGAATTTTCTGCCTGAATATCCGGACATCCCCGCGAATGGCCATGGATTTCGGTATTCCGGGTCCTACGGTGGTTGGTGAGAGATGGAGATATAGGTCTGTCTCCTTCCTCATCTCAGGAGGCTCCTAACCTCCTTCAGAGGGACTCTGAATGGTTTATGCAAAAAGCTTCATTCTCACCAAAGACAAAAAAAGGAAAAACAGTAAACATAAACACAAATGAAGCGTTTTGTGTAATTTGTTTATGCAGCAGCCTCCCGAACGTTTATGTAGAGCCTGAACGACACCAAGATGAACTCTCTTAAGATTAAAGATTAAAGAGACACATTGTCAACACTCTGTTAGCCCTCATACTCCCTGATGACGCCCCAGTATTATTTTGCCAATATAATTTTGAAAAAAATTATCCTTATTTTCGTAGTGTATACTATATCGCTTTCGTTTCAAGCGAAACACTGAATTGTTGTGTGGTACTTAGCTTCAGACTGCGACAGATGAAAGGGGTTTGTTTAGAATCAGTTTATTCATTGTTCGCTACATTTTCTGTATGTAATAATATTGTGTACTGCATCTAGTGTCATTATCAATTGCTTGTTTAGTGATATTTTTCTTTTTAAAATTCTTGTAACTGCACTGACATACCAATGCCAAATTCCTGATACATTCTTATTTACTTGGCGAAAATTAAGCTGAATCTAATACTGTTCAGCGCTACTCCAGCAGGTCAGCGTATGCATGTAGAGTGAATTCTCACTTTTTGTGGTGATTTCCCCTCCCCTAGAACAGCTTATGATTTTCCCCCATTTATACAGCTGGGTGTTTTACTGGGAAAAATTTGGGTTGAGTACTGTGCTCATTGGCGCGACAGCATCAGCCCTCATGGAACGAGCATGAGCCCCATGTCCTTAAGAGCTACACAAGATGCCGCTGACAGATTTCTTATTTAAACCGGCACATTGATTGTAAATGTGGGAATTCCACAGAAAAATCAAGCACCAGATTCTGACCTTTGAAGCACCAAAAGCAGCAGGCCTCAGACCTGAAGCGCTTTAAAGAAAAGCAGAGAAAAAAATAGCGATCTTGAACAAGGTCCCTTAGTCATCCTGAAGATGAGAACCCTGTTGACCCTGATGCTGTGTGAAGTTCGATTTTTCTTCCTTTTTATGATTGAGCTCCTCCTCTGCATGACAGCATCAAGGTGTTGAATGTGATATGTTGCCTTAGCTGGTAGCCAATGAGGAGGGGAGAAAGTGAGCATGTGATCGGAAACATGCCTATCAGCCTGGAGGACGTCATTATGTACAAGCAAGAGATGATCAAAGCCTGATTTACAGTAGTTAAGATTGCCTGGAGTGTGCTGGGTTTAAGACCTAGACAGAGACTGGTTGATTTGAGATCTATGCAAGGCTAGAACAATTAAATTAATTAAATTAATAACCTAATCTGTTACCCGGCGTGTTGATCACAAATTTCATTTTGTGTGTGTTTGTGTGAATATAATAAGTGTTTGTATTATAAAAACAGCTACAACTACCAGATTAAATTTAACAAAAACATTAGATAATTCCAACTTTTGACTTCGGATCCTGGTTTTAGACCCTAAATGAAACTAGTAATTATGATAAAGGTTGTCCTAAATCTTTGAGACAGCTCATCCATCATCGACATGATGGCATATCAGTAGTGTGACTAACTAATACCAGCGTCCAGGTTGGAACCAAGACTGACCATTCATTAATGTTGGATCTCTGTCATTCACCAGCCATGACTGTTGTGCATTGCTACTCAATAGGGTGGGGTGAAAAAAAAATCAAAATTTCCAATAGCAATTTCCAGTAGTGCGGAAAAGTTGTCACTGGACCTCGTTATTAAACGTGCAAAATACCTTTGAAATAGTTTAATATTTTCAGGTTCCGCAACGCGATCGAAGTTTTCACCTGTCACATTAATGCGCAGATCCACGCTACGTATCATTCATATCATAACGCAATGTAAACTTGTTCCAATTTAATACAAGAACCTAACAATCGGTCAGTAACAATGAGTAAGTGGGAAACGACTCATTCAGAAATGTGGCGCTAAGGAGCATGTTTACACTGACATACTGGCAATATACACTATCCATTATCTATACCACAGGAGCATGCTTACACTGACATACTGGCAATATACACTATCCATTATCTATACCACAGGAGCATGCTTACACTGACATACTGGTAATATACACTATCCTTTATCTATACCACGGGAGCATGCTTACGACTGACATACTGGTAATATACACTATCCATTATCTATACCGCAGGAGCATGCTT